ACTTACAGAGATGGAGATTCATTCTGGGCAACCTGTTCCAGTGCCTCTCCACCCTTACAGTAAAGAATTTTTCCTAATATCTAATCTAAAGCTACTTCCTTTCAGTTTGAGGCCATTTCCCTTGTCCTGTGATTACCTGTAAGAAGTCCCTCTCCATCTTTCTTGTAGGGTCCCTTCAGGTACTGGAAAACCAAAATTAGGTCACCCTTAAGCCTTTTCTTTTCCAGGCTGAACAAACCCAATTCTCCCAGCCTTTCCTTACAGGAGAGGTACTCCATTCCTCTTCTTGGTGACCCTCCTCCAGACTTACTTCAACAAGTCAATGTCCTTCCTGTGCTGGGGAGTCCAGAGCTTAATGCAGTACTCCAGGTGGGGTTTCACCAGAGAAAAGTAGAGGGGCAGAATCACCTCCCTGGACCTGCTGGCTGTGCTGCTTTTGACGCAGCCCAGAACACATTTGGCTTTCTGGGCTGCAAACACATTGCTGGCTCATGTCCAGCCTCTTATCTACCAGCACCCCCAACTTCTTGGCAGGGCTACTCATGATCAGTTCATCCCCCCAACCTGTATCGATACCTGAGATCCCCCCAACTCAGGTGCAGCACCTTACACTTGGTCTTATTAAACCTCATGAGGTTCTCATGGGCCCACTTCTGAAGTTTGTCCAGGTCCCTCTAGATGGCATCCCATCCTTAAGGTGTGTCAACAGCACCACTCAGCTTGGTGTCATCTGCAAATTTGCTGAGGCTGCACTTGATTCCTTCATCTTTGTTAATTATGAAGACAGTAAGAAGCTCTGGTCTCAATACGGACCCCTGAGGGACACCACTTGTCACTGATGTCCACCAGGACTCTGAGCCATTAACCACTACCCTCCAACCATTTTTTGTCTGTCTAACAGTCCAGTCATCAAATCCATCTGTCTCCAATAGAGAGAGAAGGAGGTTGTGTGGAATCATGTCAAAAGCTTTACAGAAGTCCAGATAAATGACATCTGATGTCATTGACCTCATTCACTGATGTAGTCAACAATTATTACTAATGTAGTAAATAAATGCTTAAAGGGGTTTCTCTGGCATCTAAGAACTATAGAAATTGTTCCTGATTATCTTTATTCTAAGGAAAAAATCTCCCAAGTTTTTATCAACAGTGAGATAATACCTGATGCAAATCATGGAACATAGGACAGCTTTGTATAGACTTATGCAATCTCCTTTGATCTGTGATAGAATGAAATCTTCAGAAAATGGCATCCAAATGACAAAATACAAGAGAAGTGGTTTCCAGCACTGATTGCAAAGGTGTATTAATGCAAGAGTGAGATATGAACTATTCAGGAAAGTTAGTAAACTTCTCCTGTCTTTAAATCCTGTTTTAGGAAATGATATGATTGACAATGAAGAATCACCATCGGTCTCTGGAAAGACGCCAACTCATAAAATTTCTGATAGCAAAAAGGCAGGATTCCGCACTTTCAGCAGGTACGTGTCCTCTTTAGCATGCACAAATGTCTCCTTTATTGGTTACATTTTTGAGATGATTGGGTCTGTAAACTGTTCTGGTGTGAGGGGTGCTAGGTGGAGTCAAGGATGTGTGTGTGGATAATCTATTTGCAAGAAGTAAGAGTGAAGATTCAAGTGGGTACTAAGGTTCTAATTGAGTACAGTGCCCTAACCCATCAAACCGAATGGCCCAGACCTCTTTTTCCCTAAGTCAGAGTGGTCCACAGATTATAAGAACATGTTGATTTAATCCACAGTATTCCTTGAAAGACTCTATACCCCAAAAATATGCAGTCTGTTCTTTTAGCTTAAAAAACCTTATGCACTTGTGTAGCCATCTTTTGCCCTTCTACCTTCCAAGATCGTTGAACCACTATCAAATTACATATCAGAAACAAAATTGAGAAATGGTTTGTTAGTCCACTGTGAGAAAAATTTAAACATCTGCATTTTGTACCTTTACCCTACTGAGTTTTTGTTACTCTTTTGATGTTTTAATTGGGGAAGTTATGTAAGCCAACAGGTGAAAAAATAGTTTATTGTCAGTTAGTTTTCTCCCTTTCTATTGCTGTGCTGTCCAGAAAATGTGCTGAATCTGGCTAGGTCTCTAGGAATCTTTGACTTCTACAAGTAAAGGTACAACAGAAATATTTGTGGTGGAATATCACAAAAACCTCTTCACAAGTGTGTTTCTTGCTCACAAGGCCAGATTATTAGGAAATTAATACACAAGTCAAAGATGAAACCATTAGAATGACTGAATAAAATAAACATAAATTTTATATTTAGTGCAGTACTGTAATTTAACCAATCCAATCATGTACTTATTCAGATACAGCTAGTCTATATCAATTTTTTTCTTAGAAATGTTGTTTTACTTCTTCCTTCCAACCATCTCCAGGAACTATGGCAAAATTTAGTTAAACTTGATAGTTGTAGAGATCTCACAGTTACTTACAGTCAAAATGTGCTGAAAATGATTGTACAAGGGCAGTGAAGAGACCCAGACTGGTTTGTGCTGAGAGAGTTATTCTGCCCTGTATCAGGTTACTGACCAGTTGTTGTGTTTGTATTTGGTTGGACAGGCCCCCTATGGGATTTATGAGCTGTTACTTAACCCAGCCAAATGAATAGCAGACATTTTAGGGACTAGCAGGATTTCTTAGTTGAGGAATGGTACCAGCTATTCAGAAAATAGACTTTGATGGTCCTCCTGATCACAGACCAGCCTATGGTGGAACATGGAGAGTATTTACAAAAAAAAGCTTATGGGAAAAAACTTGTACCTCATCATCACTCATTTTTAAACGTGTTTTCTTCTTATTGTTTTAGCAATTCTCCTTATCAGCCAACATCTTTCAGGCCACGGTTCTTATTGGTTGAAGAGCCAGGATCTGGGCAAGCTTTTGATTTGGCACCTGCAGTAATACATGCTCTGGAAAAGTTTCCAGCTTATACACTAGACCTGCCAACTTTGTTTGTCAGCAGCACATCACAGGAAGAAACATGTTCACAGGTATCTTTTTACTCATTAATTTCATAGGATTTTTTAACTGTATATATATAGTGAAGTGAGCAAAATTCACTGTTAATGGAGGTGGCTTGATTTGAATGTGCTGTTATGTTTGCTTCTGTCTGAAAATCTGCTTTTCTTGTAGATGAAATGATACTGAATAAGGATGTTTATACATAGCCATGTTTTCCATTTGAAATGAAACAGGGAGGATGTTGTTAGCAGCTTGGAAAGATGGGAGATACTGCTAATAAACCCCTCTTTGCGGCAAGAAATCCTGCTGGTCTTGGTTGGATCCAGAAAGTTGTTTTTGTTGTTTCTTAAGTATTGGTACTCCCTGTAGATAGTTCTAATGGTGTGCCATGCACTTTTTGTAGCCTTCTTTTTTATTGTATTTGTAGGCAGCCAAGGTTTTAGGGAAAAGAAAGGTTTGGTTTTTGATATATACAGCTTGTACTGCTGTGATACATGCAATAAGAGCATTAAAATTCATGGAACACTTAAATTTGTAAGCTGATGTGCTTTCCTTAACGAAAAAAATTTAAATATAAGCTTATTAGTGCTTTTTAATTTTTTATCTTTAGGCAGGAAATTGGTTTCATTGTTTGGCATCACTGTATCCAAATTTTTGACCTTTAGTAGTAGCATTTGAGTTCTGTACAAGTCAGGACAAATACATTACATGACAGGATTCTCATTTGTCACGTAGGAGGAACAATTCCTTTTTTGTCATGGTTGCATCTTTGGTCATATAGCTCCCTTATGTAGTGCCTGCCTGGATATAGCAAGTGCGCTTCCCATTTAGTGACAGAAACTCCCTGATTATTGTTAATCTGAAAAGGGTGCCTGGAGAAATTTGCCACGTAATAGGACTGTTGCCGCTTCCCTCATGCACTACATGCAGGTCCTCTTCTGCAATTGAGGTGCCATCTCTAGGCAGTGGCTTGTGATCTTCCAAGGCACGTCATCTGGTCTGGTGGATCCTTTGGTAATGAGAGGCTGTGAGTGATTCATCTCTTCAGGCAGACTAAGGACTGATCATTTCTTGTAAAATATGCCTGAAATTATGAATCCTAACCAGGCTTCATTTATCTTGTCAGCCCTCATCTTTTCACATAGATAATTGTTTTTTCAGACTGTGCTCCAGTCTGACTTGGGGATGTGCCCACTCTGAATTGAAAATGGTGCAGTTACAATTGTGCAGCAATTTATCCAGGCCAATACATCTAGCTGAAGGGTTAGTCTTGTTTTTTCAGGCACACCACCACATTAACTGAGTTCTGAGGCTCTTCAGGAGTTATCTTACACCTAAGAAATTTTGAAATCAGGCAGAGATTTAGGTCTGTTTCTGTCTCCATAGCAATGTCTACATTTTAGTCAAAGTGAAAATTTTACCTTATTGTTAAGGAGTTGTTCACCATATATTGGTTTCTCTTGATGTCTTGGCTTATGCATTCTTATTTCATAAGATAGTTCAACTGATATGTAGTTATTTAGTGATTTGCTCTACATGATGTAGTTTTCTTATCCAAGCTTTCATTTTACCAGTTGATACGAGAAGCTCAAAGAACAGCACCAAGTATCATTTATATACCACAAATCTCTTTGTGGTGGGAGGCTATTGGACCTACACTGAAAGCTGGTTTTACAGGACTACTGAATAACATTCCATACTTTGCTCCAGTTTTGCTTCTTGCAACATCTGATGTGCAACATGAAGATCTCCCAGAAGAGGTATTTCTGTAGATACTTTGCTTCCTTTATTACTCAGTTTCTTGTTGATTTATAATTCTGTGAAACATAGGAGTAAGCAAATTCATACTGTTATTACTGAGGCACCAGAACCTGGTCTCTTAAAATTGGCTTAGACAAAACAATACTGAAAGCATTTGTCCAAAGTGTTTTCTGAGCAAAGACATTGACTTTGACCCAACTTTTTCTTGCTTCTCACACACTCATGCTTGTCTGACAGATGTATAGGCTTATTTCAGGCAATCATTTCAGTGGCTTCAAGATGGTTAGGTGTGTCTTTAGTGCGCATGAAAGGTAGGTAGGAAAAAGATTGTTTCTTCTGATGACATTTTTACCAAAAAAGTGAAAGGCGCTTTTATGGAAAAAGGACAGTGGTCACACTGTTACTGATGGAATGTAATTTCAAATTTAAATTATTTAATAAAATATTCAGTTGACAAATTAAAAAGTTAAAGTCCAACTTCTGTTTAAGTAACTTGGAAATCAATTTTTAACTGTATTCCTTAACAAAATTCATTAAGAGGATGTGCTGAGCTTTCTAGACATCTGAGAGTGTGCATTAAAGGAAGGTGTTCAAAATGTGAATATACTGCTCTGATTATTTTGTCTTAGTAACAGAAGTTTTCATAATGCTAATAAATACCTTCTAAATTAAAACAAAACAGAACAAAACAAAACAAAAAAAAACAACACAACAAAAAACCAAACCAAACCAAAAAAAAAACCACACAAAAAAAACCCAAAACCAAAATCAAACAAAAAAAAAAACCAAAACCAAAAAAAACCCCCAAACCTCCATCTTACCAAAAAGCTGGCACTTGTCTGCTGAGCCTTGCCTCTGTAGCTGCCATAAGAATTCATGTTAAAGGACAACAAAGGAGGTAAATATAAAATAAGCAACCTTATGGTGATGAATGTCACCCCTTTCTCATTGGCTTATCATACATTTTTTTCATGAAGCTTAAACTCTAGAAGGTTCCTTAGAGAAGGTATTTTAATTTGTGCTGCTATGAAAATTTAGTTTTTTAAGGCCAAGAAGTTAACCTTTCATAGCTTGTCTTATCCAGATGAATATTCAGCTTAATTTACAAAGGTACTCATCTTTTCGGAATAGAAAAAAAATATTTGTGTGGCCTTATATCTGAAATGTCTTTTCCTCTCGTGCTCTAGATAAAAACATTGTTTAATAATAACCGTGAAGAAGTTTTCAAAATCCCGCGGCCTACCTGTGCTGAAAGAAGAAGTTTTTTTGAGGATTTGATCATGAAGCAAGCTGCTGAACCTCCTGCATCAAAAACCAACGCAGGTGAGGGTATTCTACATATAAAACTTTGTTGCCGTGAGTTAAGAGCTAAGACAGTATTTTCTTTGGTGATAAAGTTCTATCAATCATTTTTCAGGTGTTTTCTCTGTTATTGCAGAGAGGTACTCTGTATACAGTTCTCTGTATATACAGGATCTTCACTGATACTGTATTCCAGATAAAGAGAAATCCCAACTTAACAAATCTGTGTCATTCCAGATTCTCAGGTACGCCGTGCGACTCATGCAAAATGTTCTCAGGTGGATGAGCAACCACAAGTATGTGACAGGAAAGCAATGAAAATTCAGGCACGAGGTGTGTTTGTGGATTACTCTGAGCTCAGAGTAAGTCTAATTTCAATTTTTTTAATACTGAGACAGGACAGTGTTAGTTTTCTTGTTACCTGTACAGCTGTAAATTAAGTTGTTTGTTAACCAATGCCATTCCAAACAATTTATGGGCGGGATATATAGTTTGTGAAACAATTCAACCTGCAATGGACTATGACTGTTGTTTCCACAGCTGTTCTAGGCTGCTGCCCTTGATTTTGGTGAATTATATTTTAGGAGACTGTGTTCTCTTCCTAATTTTTAATGTAAAGGGACATGTTAAATTTTTAGATAGCCCACTAACAACTTGCTCGTGCTATTTGTTATTAATATCTTAGCAGTTTTTATGATATACTGGGGGGAGGTTGTTTTGTTTTGCATGCTTTCATTTATTAGGAAATGGAAAAGGACCTTGATTTTTAGTAGTCATGGCTTTAAACCTGAAGTTAGCAGGTTGACCTACAGCTCATCCTGGATAAAATATTAACACCTTCTTTTCCCAAATTATTTCAAAATCCAGTGTTAGAATTTTGCATTCACACAGTTCTAATGTCATAAGTTATTCCAGTCTCCCATAGGAGAGAAGTTGCTATCCTAGGTTAGAGTTGAGGAAAGGGTCAAAATCTGGCTTAAATGCAGGGGGTAAAAGAGGTTCCTTTTGCATGAACTGGAGAGGGTAGAAGAAGAACCTGACCTTCAGGGGATATTACTGTGACAAAAATTCGGGAAATTGCTAGGTTGAAGTCCTGGAGGTTGGTCAAAGCAGAAGATGCTGCTGTTTTTACCTGCCTGAGAAAGGGAGTATTATTTGGATGTTTCTTCTGAGTGAAGAGAATGTGACCAGAGTGGAATTCCCTTTGTTGAAGAGGCTTGTCCACACAATTTCTGTCACATTTTTAAGCTGTGACCTAATTTGTAGAGGTGAAACTGTCTTTTTAAGGCTGGTGTCCTAAAGAAGCAAATTTCAGGGGTGTTTCTTGTTCGTGCCTGCCTGTGCATGGAGAGAAGCCACATATGTTTCTCTAAAGTCAGGATGCTAACAGCGTGTGCTCTGAAGTTATTGCCCACTGGGGAAATCATGTGGTGGAGCCCTTATAGATGTTTCAGCTTCTATTAATTTTCAGCTGTGAGGAGAGAGCTACAGTCATGAAACATGTCTTTTTAAAAAACTTGTTTACTTAACATGGGTGCCACTGGAACGTGCTGTTTGTACTAGAAAGCTCTTTGGAACTCACCTGCAATTAATAAGCTGGATGAACCTCCAAAATACAGCTGCTTGGTTTTTATGGGATGGGGATTTTTATTATTTGGTTGGTTGGTTTCTTTGATTGCTGGGGTTTTTGTTTGTTTATTTGCTTGGTAATAGGTGTAGAATTTGATGAAATAGAAGAGCATGTAGTTACCTATGTGGTAACAATTAGAAATGGTATCACATGCAGTGTTGGCCAGTAATATTTTCATTTGTTGAGGCTGCTCTCTTAAGCTATATCTTCACAGCCTCACACAACACACAGCTACTGTACAGCCCCAGCAGTGCTGCTGCTAGCGTGTAATGTTGCTTTCTCATAGATTATCACATTCACATCTTTGGTAACAGAAAGGACTGTGTGAGAGACTGGTAATTTGCTACAGGGAGTCACTCTGCTAGTCTCTTGAGTTGAAAGGTAGGAGCTAACTGATGTTAGGCAAAGTACACATTCAGCTCATGGGTAAAGGTGAGTACCTAAAGATGTTTCCATTTCCGGCTGGCACAGCTGTATCTGGAAGATCTGTAGCCTGGCTGCCAAAGATACTTTTTAAAGGGCCCTATATGGCATTTCTAGTGAAATGGAATTGTGGCTTTGCTGTGGCAGCTACTCTATGGTACAGTGGATTGTGTTGTTCCCTGGTGTTCCGGAGGTAGTTAATTGGCAATTATGATCGTTGACATCATAGAATGATGAGTGAAAAAAATATTGCCTGAACTTTAAGACTTTCTTTTCTCTGAAGTGTGAAAAACTAACCCATTTTCTCAAGTTAAATCTTGTCAGATATTTGATCAGTTCTCTGAAGTGCCACTTTTCTTTAACAATATAAGAAAGTAGGACATATCTTGTGCTATTCTAAACTGTAATTTCCCCTTTTTTTTCCTTCAGCAATTGCTGGATTCTGTTGTTGAGGCAACTCAAAGTGTCAATATATCAAGCATGGCGAAACTATATTCTGTCCTTAGCCAGTGCATTTACCAACATCGAGATGATGCTGACAAAACCGAATTAGTGACGGTAAATTTTTTGGTTTATAGCACTTCCTGTCACAGACTGTTATGAGTGTGTGTGTATTATGCCTATGTATGTGAGCACTGTGAACATAGCACCTATTTAGCATTACTCTTTATTGCTTCTTTGTCTGTGTTACAAGACTTTTTCATTTTAGTCTGGAAGGCATTTATCCATATTGCAAAGTGATTGTACTTGGCATAATTTATGCTGTATTTGGCATAATTCACAGAATATGCTGAGTTGGAAGAGAGCCACAGAGATCATCAACTCTAATTCCTGGCCCTTCACAGGACCATCCCCAAGAGTCACATCATGTGCCTGATAGTGTTGTCCAAACACTTCTTGAACTCAGACAGGCTTGGTACTGTGACCACTTCCTTGGGCAGCCTGTTCCAGTGCTCAACCAGCCTCTGTATGAAAAACCTTTTTCTAATATCCACCCTAAACCTCCCCTGACAGAACTTCAGGCCATTCCATTGGATTCTGTCACCGCTTACCACAGAGAAGAGAGCAGTGTCTACCCCTCCTCTCCCCCTCAAGA